GGCGGAGAAGCATGACTTTTCTTGACGCGCCCGATATTAGAGGGCAAGTCAAGAAAAGTCGCTTCTTTGCCAAATAAAGTATACTATTTTTTCTTCAAACGTAGCAATTTTCAACCATAAATAGTACAATTCATACGCTATTTTTACTCGAAATTACCTGTGACAACTATCAAAGTCGTCTAGATGTTAGAAAGTAAAATAATTAAGCCGTCAGTGGGATTTGCGTCTCCCTGGTTACAGTTGTTTGACAGTTGTTTGCAATTATTAAAGCCAGCTTATTGTTGTTGCAACCGCAAGCGCAAATTTAGTGCCCAAATGGAAAACCTAAATGAAATTGAGTCCGCGGCTAATGATGCAGTAGCACGTTTGGGGCCTTCCAAGTCCGGAATAAAGTATCGGTTAGCGTACAAGCACTTCCAAGAGTGGTGCGATACAAGAGGAGTACGGCAAGTTACCGAAGATGTTTTACTGGCATATTTTAATATAATGGAAAATGAAAATAAATGGAAATCTTCTACAATGTGGTCACGATACTCTATAATAAAATCTAAGTTAGTTATTAGAAAAAAGTGGATATAAGCAAATTTTTAAAGTTACGTGCCTTTCTGAAAAATACAAGCGAAGGATACATTGCAAAGAAGTCTAAAGTTTTCACTAAAGACGAGTTTGATAAATTTTTGTTTGAAGCGCCAGATAAGTTGTATTTAGGATTAAAGGTAAAAAAAATTATATTGCAAAGCATGTAGTATACTCTACTAAATTATAAAAATATTTCAGATTGTTTTGTTAATTGGGATTACCGGCGCCTGTCGATGCGACTAAATGGTAAAAATAAAGACTGTGGACATTGAGGATTAAGAAAATGTAATAATTATCAAAATCCCAGACAGTAAAACACGACAAATTAGATCTTTTACGATAATTGGTCAAAACTACATTAAACTGTAAAATCATCGCATCCCTGTGGCCTGAAAATTTCACAGAAAACCGATTTTTTATCAAGTACCAAAATCGAAAGTGTTACCGAAGCGTTATGAGAATACAGTCGATCAGCGCAGTAGCCCAAAAAGTAGCTAGTTATTTAACGACGAACGCACTCTTTACGACGAACTTCAGCAACACTTTTAATTGATGGAAGCGGAAATCTAGAATGCCTCAAACGACATGGGGGCTGGAAATCAAGCACGGTTGCCAAAGGATATATAGAGGATTCAATAAGAAATAAGAACGATAATGCTCAAAAATTTTAAACCCTCATGATTTGCCAACATCGGGAATGATTGCTGAAAGTTGTTTTCGACCATCAGTATCATCAACAATTACCAATGCGTATCAAGAGTCGGGAACATTTTTGCACGGTTTCAATTTTGAAAATGCCTCATTAACTAATTGTACTTTTAATATTACTATAAATAAAAATGATGTTTAATTGTTGTTAATGACATATGTATTGTTACTTTGTGACATGTTTTATATTGTTGCCATGACAACATTTTTCCCTCCGCCCTAAAGAAATGGGAAAAAAACTGCTGGTGACGGACACATCAAACTTTGACAGGATCAAGTTAGATAAGTAATGTCATCATTATATGACGTTTGAAGAAGAAAGATGTTTATACTCCCTAGGTGACTACCAGTTTTACCAGCGTTCATCTTGGACGTACTCTTAAATGCAAATCTGAAAAGTGAGTTTGGCTAGGACAAATAAAACATCTTATACTGGTCATATTTATTATACTTTAAAAATAATTAATATAATATTAAGATATAACAATTGAAGAAAATTAAATTTTTATATATATTAATAAAAAAAGCAAATCCTGCCGACATGTTTACAAAATTGTGAAAATAATAATAGCTATAGTTCCCAATGGTCGACCACATGGTTCAGGAAATCTAACTTAAAAAAGGTGGACCAAAATTTAAATTAGACCAAAAAACGCAGAAAAAATTTATATAACACAAATGAATTACGAGCAGAAATTCCACTTTACATAGATAAGTGATGCAGAGATAGCTGAAGCTAACATGACAGAAATCAGGAGTTGCCAACTGACAAATATCTTGTATCGACCTGTGAGTAGGGCATAGATATCATAGCTATTATATATATATATATATATATATATATATATATATATATATATATATATATATATATATATATATATATATATATATATATCATTTACCAATATGTAGACGACCTTATATGTGCAGTCCCTGCTGACAAAATCAACTACACTCTTAACATTTTCAACTCATATAACACCTACACTTTACTGTTGAAATAGAAGAAAATAATAGTGTGCCATTTCTCGACACCTATGTAACCAGGCATGAGGACAACACAGTAAGGTTGGATTGGTACAGAAAGAAAACACTTTTAGGTAGATATGTGCCTTTTCACTCGTATCATTCAGACGAGCAGAAGATTAACATCATCAATGGTCTGAAAAACAGAATAAAAAGAATTTGTCACCCTTCTAACTACAGTAATAACATCAAGTTAATTCATGAGATTCTTAGAAAAAATCACTATCCCAAGATGCTTCTTAATAAACTGCTCTTCCAAGATATTTCAACAGTTGGAACACACCAAAGACAAACATTAGAAGGAGAAACAATAGAACTTTTCTATGGTAGATTGCCTTACATCAGGGGTTTATCACCACAGATCACAAACCTTTTCAGACAGTTCAACATGGTGATAACAAATTCAGTGTACAAAAGATTAGGAACATACTTTACTCACCTGACAGAAAGAGTTAAAAAACTGGATAACTTCAATGTAGTGTATTCTATTCAATGTGGTTCCTGTTCCGAAGTTTATGTCGGTCAAACCAGCCAGAAACTATCAAAAAGAATAGCTTTGCACAAGAGTGATGTTGTGAGGAAGCCTATTAGTACAGCTTTTAGCCAACATATTAAGAATACTGGACACATTGCTAACTATGAAAATGTGCAAGTACTAAAGAAGGTTGACAGGCAATTTAAGAGGAACTTCATAGAAATGTGCTATATCCATAACTGCAGCTCATCTATGAAGTGTAAGAAAGATGTTGAAAACTTAAGTTGTATTTATTTCTTTTTGCTTCAACAGAACTAGACAAGATGTAACAGATTGGAGAATATTGGGAACTTATCATAACATTCACAGATTATTTTTTTATTTTTAACATGTTTGTGACAGTGTTCTTCACCACTAGGACCAACTGAACATTTTCAATGTAGGTTTTTAAATGTTGATTTCCACCACTTGTACTAAATAGGTTTTCCAATTAGGTACTGATGAAGGTGACAGCATATCACCGAAAATTTCACATTTAGAATAAAGTTCTACACCAAACTGGCTTATACCATCTCTAGCTGATCCTTGATTTGACGCTTTCCCGATAGATACCTACCAAAGAGTATATATATATATATATATATATATATATATATATATATATATATATATAATATTTTGTGGGATATATTATATATATATATATATATATATATATATATATATATATATAATATTTTGTGGGATATATGTCAGGTTCTATCGGTCTGGAATTAAAACAATTTTGTTTTTTAGTCACTTAATATTTCGCCAATTGATTATTGGCTTCATCAGAAGTGCTCTACAAATTTATTAAAACAAAGAGATAAGCAACATTATGATAAAATTACATAAATATGTACTTACAGAGGTAAAACTGTTAAAACAAAAAAAGACTTGAAAAACATTAGTTTGACAATTAGACTGACAATTTTCAAAATAACTTAATATATACATAAAACAACAAAAAGTGTATAGTGGATTAGATGATTTTTCTGAAATTTTTATATATAAAAAAAAGAGATGTAGATGCTGCTTAGCTGATTCGTATCTGGTTAAATCAGATAATACTATGTTTAAAATGAATATAAAATATTAAACAAGAGACAGCATATTTAAAATAAAATGTTTAAGTAAATACTAAATACTTTCCCAAACAGTGAGGATAATCTTAAAATTTAATCGCATATTTTTTGTAATAAAGCAATTAAGTAACTATTAGTTGACCTAATTTCGACTTACATTAACGACTTAATCAATTTTTTTAATTTAGCATCCCTCGGTCCCATCCTAGAATTCTTTTAACATATTTTTTTGTCAGTCCACTCATCCATCTAAAAATTCTCATTTCTTTAATGAGTTTCTTTCTTATTTCTTATTAACTATTCAACTTTCTGAACAATATAGTTGCTGTTCCAACTATTTCACTGAATCTATCTATTGGTTTCATTCAAAGTTTTCTGTTACATAATAAACTCACGTTCTTTTCTTTCAACAATCTTACTTTAAATCTATTGCAAGCAACCCTGTGTATATCCGCATTTATCTCTAATACTAATATGTCAGGCCATCTTGTTTGTAATAGTAACTTTTAATTTCAAATGTACATTTTAAATAATCCATATTTGGTTCATAAAATTGTTTCAAATACTTTTTTCCAAGAGTCAGCCTTTACACCCAATCTTCACCTGCTCTAATTCGGTTTCAGTATTACTTTGGACCTTCCTTATTACCTGATCCTAATGAAAATAGATATGGATTTAGCACCTGATGCAATTGTATTCTCACATGAAATTTACCACCCCTTTTACACTTCTTACACCATCTACTTTCTCAATTAATATTTTTCCATTAACTGCCTTATTAAGCACACGTTGCTACCAAATATGGCTAAATAGCATGCTGTTAAATTTCTAAAGTTAGCCGTTTCCCTGTAAAAGAACTTACGACAACTTCGAGATTGGGTCGAATTTTAATTATAAAAAAATAGACGACAAAAAAATATTTAATTAATTACTTTCCAAGGTATTTGGTTTTAAAAAGCATGCATTGGTAAAGATTATTTTGTTTAGGAAAAATGAGAAGTTTTGATAACGTGTATGTGGCATGGAATTTTATTTTATACTGTAATGATTTTATTGTTCTTTCTAATACATTTTTTCTCTTTTAGGAACTGGATATGGAAGGATGTCCAAAGCCAATTGTCTTCATATTGCACAATTTCTTATCTGCCAAAATCCATCGATTAGGCTTGACAGCCTGAAATATTGTTGAATGAAAAATTAATTTTTAAGTTTGTTTTTAACATAATAAATTGTCAATTAGTAGAAACAGATTTTCTACCTAATGATTTCGTTAAATTTGTCAGTGAACTTTGATAGATAATCTAATAACATATAAAAAATATGAGAGGTTATAATTGGGATGCAGAATTAAATTACATCACAATTCTTTGGAGACTCACGTAAATTTCTTGTTTGCACGTTTTGTTAATAAAAAAAACCTATTAAATAACAAAAGTTTAGGGTCAGTTTGGAAATAAAATCAGATGCAATTGTCGTGTTTATATTTTTAAATCTTTTTTTTTTATTTTCATAAAGATATAGGTATTTACTATAATATATGGATTAGCATGCCAACTGTCAAATAATAGTCGTTCATAGCTGGTTTGAGTGACTTGTGTGAACAGAATACCCCATATGCATATAATACAAGATATACTGAACGTTACAATATCGCACGTTCCCCAAGCGCGACAGAGAGACCTGATGAAAAAGCAGTCCCTACATCTCTTTCTAATTTTCCACGTTTATCAACCACGTGATAATAATGCCCAATGAGAATGTCACGCCGATTAAACAGATATGCGGGACTGCTTTGTTTCAGTTTTGTGTGTCGCACTGGGGGAATATGTCTATGGAATTACCTGTTTACCTGATAACCTGAAAAACCTGTTTTGTACAACTTATTTGTTTGGTAGCTTCTCTTGTGTTTTTTTGTCGTTTTGGTTTTGTATGGTTAGGCCCAACAGAACTTTAAAGTTAAATTTGACGTTATACATAAACATTGCTTGTAAATTGTAGCTAAAGCGGCAATTTGACCTTAGTAGACCTTTTCCAACTGTCACGCGAAAGTTTTTTTTTTGTATTCCCCTAAACCTAGCACTTGATACCGAGCATCTTTTAGGCTGAGTTGTCCTATCTTTAATAGGTACTTAAATGTATTTCTCGGTGAGCAGCATATGTTCTCACGATGGATCTTTTCCGGTAAACTTTGCCGTGGTTATGATGATCGATTTTTACTAGTTCCTGTTTATATTTAAGAGAATAGTCCGTAAAGCGATCTAGTTCCATAGTTTTTGGATGATTTCGACTGTTTGTTCCTGTTATATGTTTGTTTAAGAAGAAACTAGGAAATGGAAGTTCACTCCCGGCAGAACCTTTCATGTCATGAGATAGCTAATGTAACCTGGATATCCGCTTCTAAACATGATGATTAACTGTATCACGACAAATTATCACAACTCTATAAAAGGTATCTATAAATATAGTATTTTTGTATGTTTGTGACTGATCCACCACTGCTCTAATAAGTCGGTATCTTTTTTGTAAAACGACATTTCCTTCTTCATTTGTACCAATAACTCCAAGGTATTATGTAACAAATACCTAAAATTGATAGTTCTCCGATTGTTCTCGGTTTTACTTTATGGTGTCAAGTATTGGACTGAAAATAAAAGTCATCTAAAACCCATTGCATATTGTCTTTTTAATTTTAAAAGTTTCTTAGCTGAAAAAAATTCGAAACTCCATAACACTAGAACATCTTAGCAAGAGTCCACCTAGAGTATAAAAAGTATAAGTAAGATAAAGCTAAAGTACTGCGGACATGTAATGAGAAGTCCATACTGTAGGTTGCTGCAAAATATTGATTCAGGATGAAGAACATTTCCATGGTTAGCATGCTATTAGGATGGCAGTGAATAAAATTATAATAGCTATGATGGTAACCAACTTTCTGAAAGGACATGGCATATTAAGAAGAAGAAGAATATATATATATATATATATATATATATATATATATATATATAATAAGGATCACTCAGACGAGTGGTGGGTTCAAATATCGGTCTACTAGGTGGAGAAATAAAAGACAAAGTTGATACTACTTCATCTATTTTGAAGACGTTTCGCTATCGAATTCTGATAGCATCATCAGTTCATCTAAAAATTTTACATTATGAGTACCACACATTCATGAAGAAGATGTTAAATAGTTACCTTTAAAAAGATATGTAGTTGTCAATGGTATTAAAAAGATAGTACAAAAACTCAAATAAATGGACATCAAACTCAAATAAATGGATATATAGAGGAGTATAACCGTAGGGATCTATAGAGGAGTATAACCGAGACGCAAGCCCTTATCTCTTGCCGTACTGCTCCACCATAGGCCGATCAGACATCAGCATATTCTTGTTTAAGCCGCAGATTCGTTTTAGAAATTTAAACTGCTGCATTAGCCTTTTTTATTTTCTGTACACCGAGTCAGAGCTTGAACCCATATCCACTTAACCATTCGACAGTGAATCCAATGAGAATCGGCCGCCTGTCCCACTTGGATATCTGACCGACGAATAACTTCATATAATATTCGCTATTTACACTTAAGAGTAAAGAACGTAAAACCTTTATATGAATCTAGTGGCATCTGTGAGAGTAGGACTGGAATCTGCATCATACTTCTCAATCGAAAAAGTTGTACGACAGGGTTGTGTTCTGTCACCCCTCCTTATTAATCTTTACTCTGAAACGATTTTCGATAGAGCCTTAAGTGACACTGAAGACGGAATCAAAATCAACGGACAGACGATTAGTAATCTTCGCTATGCTGATGATACAGTCATAATAGCTAATAGCCAAGAAGCGCTACAACGACTGATAGATAGAATAAATACTGAAAGAGAACGACTGGGCTTGAAGATTAATATGGACAAGACTAAGGTAATGGTGGTTAGTAGAACACGAAATATGCAATTAAATATAAGAGTTTAAACAATAAACAATAAGAACATACAAAAGGTCCCCAAGTTCAGATATCTCGGTAGTTGGATAACTGAAGATTTAGATCCAGACATAGCGATACGTAGCAGGGTTAAGCAAGCCAGAACAGCATTTACTAATATGAGAACCCTGCTAAGCAACAGCAGCCTTTACCTAACGCTTCGATATCGCTTTGTAAAATGTTACATTTACTCCATACTGCTATATGGTGTAGAAACCTTGCCCATAAAGGCCAAAGTGATGAACCGATTGGAGGCCTTTAAAATGTGGGTATTTAGAAAACTACTTAAAATTTCCATATCACATATCACACAACAAATGGCGAAGTATTAAATCGAATGGGCAGAGAACGAGAGTTGCTGCCAATAATAAAAAAGAAGAAACACTGCTTATCTAGATCATATATTTCGAAACTCCAAGTACCAGTTCTTAAAGCTTATTATGGAAGGAAAGATAGAAGGAAAACGGGGCATCGGAAGAAAGAAATACTCATGGCTTAAAAACATAAGGTACTGGACAAACTTCGATGTCCATGCACTCTTTAGAGCCACACAATAGGAGTATGCCAGAATTGTTGCCAACATCCACTCATTAGATAGGGCACCAGAGGAAGAAAATTTACACTTTCGCTTTTCTTAAGTTAATCGTTGAATAAAGTAGTGTGTAGATTTTACTTTTAAATAAAGTGATTGGTCCATGTATCATCCGTTGTCACATACTGATACAAAATTTTTATTTTATTGTGCATCTCTCTCTTTCCCTCTCTCTCTCTCTCTCTCTCTCTTCAGTCCTAATTCCCTGGAGGAAGTATAGTGGTTATCATGATGTCGTGTTTTGTCTGTCTCTAAAGATCTCTTTGGTCATTTCTGTTAACTCATGCATAGGTCTTTTGGATACTCCTGTAATTTGGTCGATTCATATTGTTTTCTGTCGGTCGATTTTCTGCCTTCTACCATTTCTTGGAAAATAAGTCTTTCCATGTTTTCTGTGTCTGCTCTCATAATATGTCTTCATTATAAGTATTTTATTTGTCCAAAATGTAATTTTTTACAGAGACGTTTGCTGACCTTTGCTTCCTTTAAAATTCAATTATTTGTCCAGTAATCCGCTCTTAGGATGTCTATCTTTCTTCTTTCTGCTTGCTGTAGGGTCCTATATTCAGATCCGATGTCAGCATTGGGAATATTAAGCAGTTGATTAATTTGAGATTCCTTTCATATTTTGGCTGTCTTTTGTATGGTGGCTTTTGCTAGATCACATATTTGTTTTATTTCTTCCTGCAGAGACCCTGTGTGTGTAATCAATGATCCCAGATATAAGTATGAGCTCACAATCGCACACCTGTTAATCGTGGTTTTGTGTGGATGATATATCCACTATCATGATCTTTGTCTTTGATATGCTAAACTACAGACTATTTGATTTTCGTTTTTAATGTCGTATGAGATCACTTAACTCGTCCTAACTATTTGTATGAAGGGCTGTGTCATCTGCAAAACGTAGGTCATTCTTCAAACGCTCTTTTTATAATATGCTTCCCAAATATTTTCTTGTTTTGAATGGAATGCATTTGAGAGTGTTAAGCACCTTAACTGGTTCAGTCGTATTTTCATATAGTTCAGTTATAATCGAAATTTAGTGTTCTGGTCCGCCTACTTCTTCTAGTATCTGTCATAAGTGTTGCTATTTAATCCTGTCGAACGTTTTGCATTCTATAAATATGTAAATCAAATATATAGTGGAATATTGAATTGTCTAGATTTTTCTATTATTTGTCTTAAGTACAGAAGGTGTTCTTTAGTACCTCTACCTTTGGTAAATATAGTTTGCGCTTGGGGTCATTAATTATGTGTGGCAATATCTTGCTGACTTGTGATATAAGGGAGATAGTTCTATAATTGTGACATTTATGGAAGCTGCCTTTTGTATATATTGATGTTACTGTAGATTTGTTCATTCGTTAGGCGATTGCTTGGAATGCCATATTTTTTTACAAAGCAAGTGGAGCAATTTTATTCCGGTTTCTTCGGTGGCTTTATACATGTTTGCTGTTATTATATCTGGACCTGGTGCTTTTGTTATAATTAATTATACTGGTCGTCAGTGTTATTTCATTGTCGAGTATTTTAGATTCTTTTCTCGATTTCGTCAGAGGTTTGGTAAACAAGTTCCTGGCATTGATTATCTTTATATAGGT